TTTTTTCAAAAGTATTGATAAAACTAATGAAAGAGATATGAATTTGAAGAACTTGAAAGAAAGTATTGAAAAATTGTAGGTTCTTAAAAGGAAATAATGAATATTCAATGAGTCATAGTGTTTATCAATAAAATAAATATTACTACAATGTTGTATAAAACAAAAATTTGGAATGCCTAATGAGAAAATAAAGAAATTCATTGTTCCAACAACAATAGACATTATTATCAATACTTAAAAAGAGATTATTAAAGAATAAATATGAAATGAAAATTAAAAAAAAAGAACTGAGAAAAAGAAGAAAAACAAGAAATGGGGTATGATATTATTGATATTAAAGGATTAATTGCATCACATCCAACTGGGTTTGAAAAATATGGAGGGTTTTTATTTTATCTTGTAGTTATATTTCAGTTAGGATATTGTTTGTTATACTAATTCTTTTTATACAAAAATAAAGCAACAAATCAATGAAATAGTTATATACAAAATTATTGATAAAAAGTACTGTATTATTTTTAATAGATTTAGTACTATCACAACATATATCATTAGAACGAAATTTTTTGTTGAATTGATTATGGTTATTGGTCAATGTTCACCAGAGATAATAATGACTATTCTGGGTATTGTATTTAATACATCATATTCAGTTGCTGTGTGTTGTGTTATTGGAAGTTCATTTTGTGCAACAATTATTGGAAGTAGTTTAGCATCACTCAACTCATATAATCCAATTCAAATTACACCATTTTCATATCAAAGAACTTCAATCATTCTATTATTCAATGTATTGATTTATGAATTATTTACTGAATCAATCAACAAAAATGGAAATTCAAGAATTGGAACATTATTATTAGTTGTTTCATTAGGTATTTTCATTATTTATTATCTTTTGAATCAAATCATTTCAAGAGTAACCAATAAAAATGTTCAAAACATTAAAGAATTTGAATACAAAGAAGAAAATGATGCAATGGATATAATAAATGATGAAGAAATGATTAAAGGTGGATTAGTTCTTGTGAAGAATATAAATTATAGTGAAACATATTATACAACATCACAATGGAAAGAGTTATGGGTTGATTTATATTATGATGAAATTGTTATTAGAAGTGATAAAACAGCAGGATCAAAAGAAATTATTAAAATTCCTATAACAAGTATTGAAGAATGTGACATTAATTTATTAGATAAAACGATATTTGTAATTAAAACGTTTAATAAAAAAGAAATTGGAATGAGAAGTTTACAGAGATATGAATGGGTAAAAAATATCCAAAAATTAATTAATAGAAATGAAAAAAAACAAATTGATAAAGACAAACAAAAAATACAATTGAAAGAAATATTAAAATATGATAAATTTGAAAAGAATGAAGAAAGAACAATATTTAAAAATATTATTTTCTTTCTTCCTAATTTAATTGTTGATTGGACAATTCCAATATTTCAATTTCCATTAAGTGGAATTATTACCTTTGTTATTGGAGGAATTTATATTATTATTAGTGAATTTATTATACTTATATTAATTATTAGAATTAGTGCTGTTACTGGAATATCAGAAGATTCAATTGGAATAGGAATTAATGGAATAATTGGAATGGGAATGAGATTTATTATTAATTCTTGGAATGGTGGATTTAAAGGAATGGGAAGTGTGGTTATTGAAAATGGATATTCACAAGCAATATTTATGATGAGTTGTATTGTTACAATTCCATGGATTGTCTTTTACTTTATCATTGAAAAACAATATGAATATACTATTAGTTTTAATCAAACATCAATTGATATTATTCTTTTTGGAATGATCATCTTAATTTCCTTATATTTACTTATTTCAATTTTAAGTTCAAAAGTAATTATCAAAAGAACTTATAGCTTTATTGTTATTTTTGTTTATTTTGCATTGGTTATATCATCAATAATAATTTCATCTTATTATCATTCTTAATTTATTCATTCTTTTTATTATTGTAGTTCATATTTTTTGTTTTAATAAAGTAATTTTATTGTTTTTTTTTATATTTATTATTATTTTATTTTCTAAATCAACTTATAGAAAGAACTATAAAAATTATTAAAGTAAATTTCATTATGACACTCTTCTTTATGATATTGGTCTTTACTGCTTTTGGATATGAACCATTTTTTGAAGAAATTAATTGCCAAGAATTTAATAAAAATTGTAGAGAATGTGTACGATATGTTCAAAATTTTAAAGACAATATTCGAGGATGTCAATGGTGTGATATGCCAAATTACTTTGACTCATATTGTTTTAACCCAAACACTACTATTTGTAAAGGTAAAATCCAAGAAATATGTCAATTAGATCCATTAATAATGTCAGTTGTTAGTATATTATGTTTACTTCCATTATTAATAGTTATATTACTAATAGTCTTACCATCCCTTATTTCTTGTATTAAAAAGCGTCAAACAAAACAAGATTAACTTGTCTTTTTATATATTTTCTTCTAAAATAAAAAACCTTTCTTATTTACTTACTTTTAAATTGTTATTCAATTATTACTTAAATGAGTAATTTGGATGATTTGTTCTTTATACTTCATAATAACAAATGGATAAAAATAAGTCCCTTTTACCTTTACATTGATTTGCTTTTCATCATTGAGTTGAATTTGAACAATTTGATTGTCACTATCAAAAGTAAACCAAATATCATCTTCTTCTTCAATAGAATTAAATGACATTTGTTGTTCATTTCTTTGAAATTCATTAGAAACGATATACCCACCTTTTATTGGAAGATATACTCCACTTCCTAAAACATCATTTTTATCAGTACAACATCCAATAATAATACAATATCCATATGGATATTCTCCAATAGATTCAACAGTAAAACATACTTTGGTAATTTCTTTGTCAATAATAAGAATTGACTTATTTTGGTCATTTTGTGTTTTTTGAACAGAAACACCATCATCTATCATTTCATATGTAAACTCTCCATCAATTAAAATATCACTTTCATTAATAACAATTGGATGTTTAAATGAATTAAAGCTTTCCCAATTTAAGCCAAAATATTGAAATAATTGTATAACTTGACTTTTTTCTTCTTCTTCAATTTCAGAAACTTCTTCACCTCGAAGATATTCAGTAACAAATCCAAATCCTTTTCCACTTAAATTGATAACATTAATTTCTTTACATTCTTTTAATAATTGCTCAGCATATTTCTTTGGAATTTTATATGAACAATCAATAAATTGAATTGTTACTATATCTTTAATAGAATATTTTTGTTTATTTAATTTAATATTTCTTTGTTGCAGACTTAAAAGGAGATGTTGATTATAAAGCTCATAAGCTTTAAGTACTTCAATTTCATCTTTAATTGATTGGTCAGATAATGTTTTTGATGTAGATAACATTTCTTTTATTTGGCTTGAAACACTATCAATTTTATTTTCTATTTCTTGGTTCCATTCATCAAAGTGTCTTTTTTGTTCTTCTAATTGATTACCAATTATATTAGTAATCATTGTAGTTTGTTCAATAATGTTCATAGTAAATGATAAATGGAACTTTAAGATTTAAAGTAGAAAAAAATATAATAAATATAAATAAAACTATAATAAAAATTTAATAAATTATTATGAGGTTTAATGAAATAACACAATTTAATCATTTATTGGAAATTGAGTTATTATGTCATCAGTTAATTTCATTTCATTACATGTTCTACAAATTCCTTTTTCACAATCATTTAAAAATGGTTGATAAGGTTTTAAACAATATCTACAATGAAAATTATTTGACTCTTCTTCAATTTTTTGAGCAGTTGAAATGATAGTATTTGGAGTTTGATCAAATTCTATTGATAAATCATCAACAAATTGTTGTGCTCTCATTTCTAAAGTTTCATTAAGAGAACGTGGTATTTTATCAGAACAATTTAAATATTCAAGTACTTCTTTTTCAGTAAAATCAACTGGTCTTGATACAATAAGGTCTTTATAATAGTACTCGTATTTACCAATTGAAGGAACCATTTTTACATCACCTTCAATAACTGCAGCTAAAATTCTTCCAGCTTTTAATGTCATATTTGATCCATCCACCCAAACATGTTTTCTTTTTTTATTTGATTTACTTTTACAAATTATATATCTTTCATATAAATGATATGGAAGGTCTCTTATTTCATTTTGATCTATACAACAAATTTCACAATTGTATAATGGTACTTTTCTTTGTTTATCTTCTTCAATAAACATTTTTAATAATTTAATTGTATATTCATATGTTAATGTATGATCATTAATTATATAAAACGTTATTTGATCATTACGTTTTAATGCTCCATTTAAATAATATTTAAATTTCTTATAATGTAATATTTCAAAACATCCTCGACAAATATATCCAGTTCTAAATGGCTTTAATGAAATATCTTTACGATGACAATCTTTACATTCAATTTTTGTATTTTGTTGCATGGTATTTAATAGTTTTTGTTTTGAAAAAAAGGGTTTTTTATTTCAAATTTTATTTGAATAAAAACTTCAAATAAAAATATTTTGTTTTTTCTTCATTTGTTTTTTTTTTGTTATAAAACAAAACTTTTAATTTTTATTTCTATCTAATGAACAATAAAGAAACTAAAAAACAGGAATTACTCTTTGAAATGAAATATCAAAGTTACATGATTCTTTTTGATCAAAAATGGGATTCTTTAAAATATTCTCCTAGTCTAATTCAACCTGTTAAATCGTCTCCTTCAAAACATAAATTACAATAAACTTATTTTTTCCTTTAATCTCAATAATCCGTTTCAAAGTTTTTTCATTTAATTAAATCTACTGTAAATTTATCATATTTTAGTTTATCAATGATTAAAAAGAAATGTTGCTTTTTCTTTTCTTTTTTTTTTTAAAGAAAGAGAAAAAACTATGAAAGTAACTTCTTAGTTTTGTGTATTTTCTTATTTGTCTATGAACTCCAACGTATTATATCAGTTACCTCCAAAAAAAGTTTTGACTGGAGCTCCACCATTACCTAAACATCCTCAGAAAAACCTCCCCACTTCTACAAAACACCTTCAACAATCCCCAAAAGAAAATAAATTAACCCAAAACGATAATAAAATAGAGGTTTTACATGAACTGCCAAAACAACCTCTAAAAGCTCCACCATTACCTCCTTTACCAAAAGGGGCTAAGCCAAAAGTTTCACCTAATCCTAATTCTCCACCTCAACCAAAAGAAACACTACCCCCTCAAAATCAACGACCAATAATACCAAAACTTGAAGTTCCAAACACTCCAAAACAACACTTATCGAGTCCTCAAAGGTCTAATACTTCACCAATCAAACCTACAGATACTCATAATGAGACTATTGCAGAGCATTCTACACAAAAACAAACACCAAGGTCACAATGTGGTCTTGAAAAACACCTTCAACAACAAAGGGCTTCTGTTGGTTCAACCCAACCATTATATGCTTTATCCCCAAGACAACATACTTCTACACCAGTCAAAGGTGTTCCTAAAGAGCCAACACTGACAAATAACTTTTTTAAGAAAACAACCCATGTATCTCCTCGTCAGTTTAGTGGAGATTCTTTTATTTTGAATACTTCTTCATCTACTAACTGTACATCAGATATAACAACACCAAATAATAGTTCTACTTCTCCAAAAGTAAATGATTTATCATGCCAAGGTCAAAAAGTGATTGAACCAATAACTACTCAAAATCTTGGAAATAACAAAGAAGAAACACCACAAGAAGATAAAGAAGAATTAAAACACTCAAGAAGAGGAATTGGTATTTTCTCAAAATTCTCTAAATCAAATGATTTATTAACTTCATCAACAAAAGACGAAAAGAAAAAAGAGAAAAAAGAAAAAAAAGTCAAAAGAAAAGGTGATGAGAATTGTGGGTATGAGATACAATCACCTCGTGTAGATATTGTTATTCAGCCAAATGATTTTTTAAAAAAATATGAGACATATATAATTAATGATGATGCTGAATCAAAAATTCGGTTTATTCCTAAAAATCGTATTGGAGAAAAAGTTAATGGAAGTGAATTACTAATGCATACTGCTGAATTAATATTTACAGAATTCATGTTTTGTGCTCGATTACAAATATTTAAAACATGGTTTGAAGATATTATTAAAAAAGAAATTCCTTTATTAAAACATCAAGAAGATTTATTATTTGGTCCATTGGATTCATTAGTAGATTCTATTAGTCGTATGTGTTTAGAATTAGAACCGTTATATTATGAATTACTTGACAATAATATAAATATGGAAGATAAAATAGTTTTAGATATTATATTGAAATATTATGCTTTTGTTACTGGAGTTCAATCAGGTTCAGTTAATCTTTCAACTTCATTTCTTCCATTTGTTGCTCATTATACTTCATTAGCAACAAACATTGATGATTTTATTAAAGATAATAAACAACTTAATAAGTTAGTTACAATTCAAATTAATTCATGTATTGATAAAAATATCAAACAATTTGCTGATTTATACTTTGCTCCAACACAAAGAATATGTAGATATGAATTATTACTTTCTAGTATATTGAAAGAAATTCAAGACAAAGAATGTAAAATAGCAAAATATTTAAATGAGACAATTATTTGTTATAAAGAAATGAATGTTAATATTAATGAGCTTATTTTTAAGTCTAAATATTTTTATTTAAAAAGATATGAGTATTTAGATCAAATATACAAATCAAACAAACCAATTATTATGGCAAATATTGTCAATACTCATTTTGATTCTCCAGAACATTTTGTTTCCTATTATCAAGGATATAAAGGAGCGATTATTGGAAACTATAAAATTGAATTATGTATTTTTTATAATGGAATATTAAGAAAAGATATAAAAACATCTTCATTTGAATTTTATCCAATTGAAACAATATTCAATGAATTAACTGAGAAGGAAGAAGATAGTTTAACTGAAAATGATATTTATTTTTATGACGCTAAAAAGAAAAAGTCTCAAATTATCACAATGACTTCAATAGAACAACGAGACCAATTTAATTTTAATCTTCGTTTAACATATGACCATTTCATCAAATCACATAAGATAGAACTAACTAATGTTTTTTAAATCAAATTCTTTGTTTATTCTTTTGATTTTAATTCTCTTTAATTATTGATTCATTTTATAAATATATTCAATTTCAATTGAGTTTGGGCAATTTTCATTGATTTTCAAGTGGTTGAACTCAAAAAAATAGTATTGATACTTCAAACCATGGAGTTGTGTGAACTTATTCTTACTGACACTGAACGTGTTAAAAATGAGTTAATAAAAAATAGTCCAAGTCAGTTAGTTGGAACTATTTGGTTTGATAAAATGATACATATTTGTTGTGAAAAAGAGTTTGTGTCTTATTTTTTGTAGAATAATAAAAAGAATGAAGTAGTTTAAAAGAAACAAAGGTTTAATGAATTAGTTACAAAGATATATTGGAGTTGTTAATAAATTTTGAACCCAAAAAAGTATCTTGTCTTGATATTGATGGTAGAACTCCTTTAATGAATGCAATTCTTAATAAAAGTTTGAATGTTGCATTATTATTACTGACAAATGGAGATTGTTGTTTAGGAACTATTGACTCATATGGCAATACATTACTACATTATATATCATATTCACCATTTACTGATATGATATTATTATTATGTAAAAAATTGATTGAAGAATATCCAGTATTTATTGGTATGAAGAATTTAAAAGGAGAAACTCCTCTTCATATTTCAGTCAAGATGGGAAATATTGATTTTGTTGATTTTCTTCTTTATAATGGGGCTAGAGTAGAGGATAAAACTTTTGATGGTAAAAGTGTCATGGAATATGCTTTTTTTGCTAAAAAAAATTCAGGAAATATTATCCAAAAGTTACAGAGTTATCAAGATGTAATAAGTCATACAGAAAATAAAGAACAAAAAGAAACAAAATTTGAAAGACATGATGTTGTTATACATGAAACAAAAACCTCATTATTTAATTTTACTTTGTTTAAGACCAAAGAACAAATGAGAAAAGAATATGAAAATGATTTTAAAATTTTACTTGACTCATTTCATCTAAATGAAAAAATGACATTTCCTCTTGACTCATTTAATAGAAAAAAAAAGTTTAGAATGATTTCTATTGATGGTGGAGGAAGTAAATGTACTTTACAGGCTCTAATATTTGCACGATTAGTTAATAAATTTCCAACATTACTAGAAGAAGTTAATTTGTTTTGTGGTGTATCAGCGTCAAGTTTCATTTGTGCTGACTTAGCCCTTGGGATAGAACCAAAAGATGTTGCAAAGATTATGATAGAAATGACAAAACATATGTTTGAAAAGAAGTCACGAGGATATACAGAGTCATTATATTCAAATACATATATTATTGATGTTGCTCATATGACTTATGGAGAAAAGAAATTAACTGACCTTAAACGAAATATTCTAATAAATGCTTTTCAATTTGATTCTGGAGAAAATGACCCAAATAGATGTTGTAAAGCTTGTATATTCAATAACTTTATTCCAGGACATGATTGTAAAATTGCTGATGCGTGCCTAAGATCTTCTGCCGCTGTTGGTTATTATCCACCATATCAAGGATATGCAGATGGTGGAATTTTTGAAAATAATCCATGTGTTTGTGCTTTTCCATATGTATTTGGTGATAAAGGATTTAAGGCTGATATACAAAATACTGTTTGCCTTTCT